TGTAGCAATAAGCAAATTATGATGCATGAAATGCACATTATAGACGAATGTGCGATTGCTTTTATGGGTCACAAATTATATGGCGTCTTTGGTCCCGCGAAACCATAATTTAATATTTTCTCGGATCCGTAAACACTTTGACTTTTAACCGAATTTCCATAAAAATGTTTACCACATCCGTCTAATCAATTGCAATCCATATTTACCTGTTTTATATCTAACCACATGACCCAGTGGTGGACTTTCCAGAATGCTTTCTGCCTCTAAGTATATAGATATCAAATAGGCATTCGTCGGACTTTGCTCGTTACATGCACTGTTCAATATCTTCCACATATTGCTGGTTATTCACTACTACACACTGCCATTGTAACCTTCAATTTCGGGGACAAAATGTGACGAAAATACATGAGCAACCAACTTGCTCGCTCATTCTTTGGTCCCATTCCTAACGCTCTCCCGTAGCGCCTTAACACTTAGAAATGCTTTCTGCTTTCAATGTAGATGTCCAAAGTATGGTCACATCGATGGAAGTAAATAAGTTACGTCATTCGAGAGATCGTAAGCCAGTTCCATGTGAAATACTAGGATTTGCAAACAAGTGTATATGCAGTTAAATCGTATTTCTAAACTATTTTCTCCTTTCTACAAAATCAGACCAAAAACGTTTAAGCGTACATTCTTGAATGAAAGCCAGCCAGTCTCGTCTTGAAAGGTCAAGGAATAGCGGTATAATCTTCTGGTGGCATGGAATGTCCGCATGCCTGCGGCAAATGGTATACCTTCCTATAACTCACTTCGCTGCCTTCCAGCCCTGTACTAGCGAGTAATTTGAATAGTAGGGCATAGCTGGCACTGTGTTTCATAACGCCCCTCTGAAATTTGATAGTAGCCATAAGCGCGTCGACAACTGAGTGGTGACCGCACGGAAGAAAGAGGTGCCTCATACTATCTTAGTAATAGGTGTGCTTAAAATGCAATTACACTGAAACATTAAATTTGCGCAACGCAGAGTATAAGCGCAGTAACGAGTTTTATCAGAACTTGTTGGTAAGCACTAGCAATATGTGCAGCCGATTAGGTTGGCAAGTAACTTGCGTTGCACCATACAGTATACGGCTTAACTTGCGCAATTGACTTCGGCTATTAACAAAGAGTTTTCCAGAGATAAGATATATGAACGACACAAAACCATCAACCTTTGCTGGTTGCACCTACATTCGACTAACAATAATTTTCAAGGTCACCTAGCTGATTATCAAACGCGCTCTACAGAATCAGTTTTCTGACCTGGATATCACCCCACCACGCAGCACGCCTTTTAGAAAATAAGCGCCTGCACTACCAATGCCCTGGTGGCGAGGGAGTTTTAGGCAAGGGCAATATATAGGCAAACTCCTAGCTGTTGTCTTTGTTGACTTTAGCAATGGCGTTTGAGAAGGTTCCACGTCAGCGATTGCTGTGCAATCTCCGAGAATTTGTTGTCAGTGGACGCCTATACACATGGATTGCCGACTTCTAGAGAGACAGAACAATACAGGTGTGAGTGGATGACTCCTTTTCTCAGGCAGTGCTTAAGACCAGCGGGGTCCCGCAAGCATCTTTCCCGAACTTAAACTTTTCAAGCTATTCTTCTAGAACCTTACCGAAAGGCTTCAAACCGAATACCTGATTTATGCTGATGACCCCAAGGTTTGGTCGGAAGTCTCGGACGTCTATACTGCTAATATAATACAGGCTAAGCTGAATCTACTACAGGACTGGTTCACCAAGTGTGGTCTACGTATCAACTATGCGAAATGTTGTGTCCTCCTGATTGTTGCGCCTGATCCACTTGGCATCTCTCATATTGAGTGTTTCCTCCTCAACGATACCTCCCAGGAGGAAAGCGTAGGTGTCTTCATTACATCGGAAAAAGATATCAACCAGGACACATTAAGGAGAGTGGTCGCTGCTAACAGGATGTGGAGTACCATAAGATGATCATTCTCTCGGATGACACCAAAGATCGTCAAACTAATATTCGCCTCTCACATGCGACCTATTCTCGGGTACGGTCTGCCGGATACGTTTTCGTTTTCGAAGCTGAAATATTTCCTAATAAAAAGGGTCCAGAGACTAGGCTCAAAGTTTGTCTTCGGACATCTGGATTTCCTCTACCTTCTTCGACACCAAGCGATGAACCTCTTCTCACTGGACTACCGTCGCTGCTTTGGAGACCTTCTCATCACCAGGTGCATAATAAGAGGAGAACGAAGAAATAAACTGCGGCAGTTTTACCAACCCAACACGAGATCACATTTGTGCATTATTTAAACCGAGGATGTACCGAGACCGCTCCGCCGTCGATCTTCCTACTCGGGTGGAACAGCCTTCCAAAAACCTTAACCAGCGCACAGACTGAAGAAAGTATCAAGCGGCTTTTGGACTCCCATCTGCGCATGATGCCTGAACAGCACTGTTCCTCTGCGACTCCTCTGTTGACTTGCGGACTGTTGGGTCGCTAAGGCACACTTGCTTCTCGTGCTGATCTGGAAGCGACGGGGCTAACATGGGACTACCCTTCTGACCTCTACCAATCAATGAACTTTATGAACGAGGCGCTTTTTGCTGAGATGACCATTTGGCAGAGGAAATATTGTGCACAAGAGATCCCAGTGACTTAAGCAAGCCAATTCAAGCTTAATTGTGAATACATAGGTTTACTACCGACCACCGAAATGTTGGTCGAAAACCATGTAGGATTCAGGCATCCGGCTACAAATAAATGGCGAGCGCTGATTGTCCCCTATTTCGTCAATGGTAATTTCTGCTAAATGAAAAAATTAAGCGCCTTGGTTTGCACTCCATAGTTGAAGGCTTGAGTCGACATATCAGTAAAAGCAAATGCGATCTTCACTCTGAGCATCTTTAGCATGTTTAAGGAAGGAATACAAACTGATACCAATGAGCACCCAAACGTTCGCTCGTTATTGATCGCGGGAGGAAGGGTTCAAATCCAGTTGCTGGAAGGCAGATGAACCCACTATGTTGGCAAAGTTGCTGACTAACATCAGATGGTCCAATCCCATTGCAAATTATGACAGAGTTGTGCCTAAAGCATGGAGCATATGTTGCCATTGAAAAAATAGAAATAAGGTCAAATGTCTTTAGTGAGGTGGGCATTACTGGACAAAGTTTTGCAAATGCAGATGATGGAATGATTGACAAAACAAGTGCATGAAAGAGGAAAGTGGCCGATCGTGCTATCCAGGTATTTGAGGTCATAATTCGATGTAAGCGCGGTCCTCGTATACACGATGAGAAGCAATTTGTAACAGTGACATTCACAGACAAATTATCGATCGAGAGGACGATTCAGAAGCACGTTCCAAATGATGCAACTTTCCGTTGCATAACCATTCAAAATTCTTCTGCGGCTTTACAAATTGAGTGACTGTTACCAATAGGGCTCTAATCCTAACATGTTATCATCTCATGTGCACACAGCTGATCAGGGTGTAAGCTTTGTGAAGCTTACACCACCAACTGTGTACATATATGAAAGCTTTGCTCCATGACTCCTAACTCATGCTCATATCTGTTGTCTGCCATGTTATGTTTGATTTTGGATGAACTCCGTTCTTCATAACCTCTACCCAGCACACACAATGGGGCTGAAAGATACTATTTCTTGTCCTCTAGACGGTGTAACCGTTTCGTTCCTTTCTAAATACTCCCGAAACCGTGTTAACTTAGTGCCCTGAACTTAGTGCTTACAATTAGTGCGTTGAAATTCAACACACATGGATGCCATTAAGTCAAAAGACAGGTGTTCTGGTTTCATACAGCATTGAACACATTGCTTACACAGTAGACTCTCCTTTATTATTCTATTCCTCAGTGACTAGAAGCGGGGCGATTGAAACTTAATGGTATTCCACGAGCAAATAATTTGAGATTGAGTATCCCAGATCCAAACGCTGGAGGCAATCCTTTACCCTATCCACCACAACAGCGAATGTCCTCGCATTAAAATTATAGATATCCATTTGGCAATTTATTTACTATAGAGTCTGGACTGTGGTTAGCTCCAGAAACATGAGACACCTCGTCATTTATCACTAAACGTTTCTGAGTTCTGCGTTAACTACGCGGTTCTTCGATTGGTTACCGATGTACCGTAATTCCGATTATGTGAATCTAGACGCATTGCTGAAATTGTCAAGTAAGACTATCACAATATATTCTCAATAGAAGCATCGTCCGTAAACATCGTGTTGGTGACTCCGATGATTTAATCTGTCCTGTCGTACGTTATGATAGCCTGAAAGAAGTCAACGTGTTTCACTGGTACATCCGACTACATATATCCACTGATAATGTCCCGTGGCTTTATCCTCAATTCCTAGAAGGATCAATGTTGACGTATGGACCATGAAAACCCGCCCGTAAACACCCAAAAGGGGACCATTGTATTACATGTCTGAATATGATGGGCCCACTGACATTATCTGTATTAATACTTGCACGATAATCATACTCATCTTACCGATGAAGCCGAGATTTCTACAATTTATACACTGAAGTACCGGGGATGAGATATTGTACGTGTGTTTGTAGCAGGAACGATATGAGGGATAATGCTAATGTTCAAATGGATATCAGTGGGTGCTGTGTAATTGCAGAATTGCGGGTAAACGTTTCCGCTTGCAGAAAGCTCGAGTACTTATTGGTCATTGCAAATGCCCTATCTAATGGATGGTCTACCAGGTCAAATTGTTGTACAATCACATGTAATTGACTAAAGCAAACTGGCGAGATAAAATATACAGCAAATATCCTGACCACCGTGTAGGAAAGATTAGAATTTAGAAGTGGTTTGGTTATGAATTGGAAGTATTAGGGGCAAGGCGTTGACGTAGGATATTAACGCGAAATGGTGGTTAAATCGGCATGGTGCTGAATGTCGACATGCATTGCAGACAAGGAAAACAAATATTTGGATTCCTTTTGTACTCATGCTGAAGAGAAAATTTTCGAGGACATCGGCGGGTAGCAGTGAATGTACTCCAATGTATTTGTTGCATAAGACCAAAAAATCTGCTTCCGGTATGCAGCGAAGAAAGGCAAGCACATGCATGTTTGGCGGCATCCGGTTTCGGATTTGCCTGTCACTGTGGCAAGCCACAGGACGCCTGCGCCTACAGAGGGACCATGGATGGCTTGCGCTGCACCACCCACAGCTCCACCCACACACCCCATATCCAGTGTAAATTTGAAGGAATAAGACCGGGAGGTATGCGGATGGGAACCACGTTTCATCAACGGAGCCGGCCCACACTCCTTCACAGGCAAACACAAGCACACTGTATTTGGGAATCAAGCGCACACAAGGAGGTGGCTGGACCATAGTCCGCTCCACACTGACTGCATGGAACCATTCTTTGATCCTTACACATCCACAAGGACCGTGAACCCTGTCCCCTCCAACAACGACCAACTGTCTCCTGGAGCCAGTATGGACGAGATAGTGGGCAATAGACAGGTATGCACCTTGTCAACATGCACATCAAGCGCATCCACACCGGGGATATCAAACAGCAGCCAAACACTTGAGAGAGAGCGAAAGAAAAAGAGAAATACTCGATTAATTCATAAGGAAACGGTGACATAAACCTTAATTAAATAACATATGTAATAAGTTGTTTACAAACAAATCCTAGCTAAGTGCACGAGGTCAGGAAATATAGTTCACGGAATGCCACGAACAAAAAAATGTTATGAAAATCGAATACAATTGGCTTAGGCGATGTGTGCAAGTTAATGGAATAGAGTACAGGGAGATATTTATACGAGAAAGAAAAGCATTAAGGTAAAAACGTGCCATGGAGGCGATCGGATATTGCAAATCCGACCCCATGTTCACGTGGTGCTGAGGCGGCGTTCCCCACCCAGTAGAATGTGTAGCCAGCACCTGCTTCATGTAACTTACCTTGCTCAGCTAGCCGAGTTTCACTGAGCGCCGCAATATCGATGTGGTAGCGCGCCAGCTCCATTGCGACCAGTGCAGTGCGTCGCTCCGGGCGCTCGTTGGAGTTCCGGTCCAGTAGTGTGCGCACGTTCCAGCACCCTATGCTGAGTGCTTTGCGCGCAGGCATACGATTGCATTGGTGGACAATCGCACGCGAGGGGGTCGTTGTGCTTCGGAGGTTTGCGTGAGGGACTCCACCCGGAGCCTTTGGCTCAATAGCCTGACCCACAAGGCAGTGGGTGATTCGGAGGTTTGCTTGAGGGACTCCACCCGGAGCCTTTGGCTCAATAGCCTGACTCACAAGGCAGTGGGGAGCAGATCCAGCTCGGGAATGTGATTGCAGAGACAGATGGGGATCGGCTTGACGGCCGTCACACGCAGCCTTTGAGGTTCTGGAACAATTATCATATGTTTTGCGACCGTAATTGGATAAACACCTGCGACCACGGCCAGATGCAGGTGGGTTTTTGGCGGGTTTGCACCAATTTGACCAGGGGCTGCCTGGCTTGAGGCGGACAGTAGCAAACCATTGAACACCCGGAGGTGTCATCCCACCGTCAGAGACAATGCGTGACCCTCGTGCTCTACGCCAATCGAGCGGTGAGATTATAACCCGTAAACCTGTTGTCTCCCATGGCTAGGTTTTACGGGAAGAGGGCCATCAACCACTTCCTAACCTCCGAAGAGGATGGACTAGGATACTGACAGGGCGCCCACACCTGATAGGAGAACGACTCGGGTCCTCAGGCAAAGCCTTCAATTAAATGAACACACGAAAGGCAGCGGGTCTAGCACATGGTCAGTTAGCCGACTCATGCGGATTGGTGTCCTGGATCTTAGCAGGGAGAAGGGCAAAACCCAACTCCCACCCAGCGGTCGCCACGAGGAGGCACCCAGGACATGAGCAAATGGCACAACGGTAGCAGCAATGGGTAGACAATCTGTCAGGATCTAGCCACCACCAGCCTCAGCGCACCATAGGTTCCCCGCCAGGCACATGCATACCGTAATAGATATATATATATATATAGCTACATAAATTTGTATATCTATTTAATATATTTAACTTATATATATATATATATATATGCAATTTCACCAATACGTAGCTAGGTGTACCAACTTGTTCATTTGGGAAGCCTAATGAACCACGTGCGGTTGAACTAGCACCCACCAACTGCGAATGAATTGTCGATCGCGAGCCATGGATGCAACACTAGATGCATCGAAAAAACTCTTCATTTAATTGTGCATGGCTGTATACTCTAGTGGCAACATTTACGGACTTAAATCGTCACCTGTGCAAAATGACCTCGGATGTAGCCCGTAAAAATACTGCTTCTTCAAACCGTAACATCCGAACGATTTGCATGGACTAAGTTTGTCACCAGTTATACAGGTCTAAGAGCAATTTTCGCACAGAACGAAACACCCAGTATCGAAGACGCTGGGATCGGAAATTCACGCAGACATAAATCAAGCCAGTGTGTCTAATTCAGAGTAACCTACGCGTTTCAATAAAATCACTGCGGCAACTTTCTTCATAATGAAGTAGTCCAGCACCAAGAGCACTTAACAAGGATAATAAATTCTAATCCAAAAATGTTTAGAAGGAACGTTGAAGCACCCGCGAATACAACTTGGTAGTGAAGGTCTACGAATAAATGGTAGTTTTATGTTAATTGCACGTTTAACTGCGACTATGCTTACAACCGTGAAACTTCCTTGCAAACGTATTTGGACCAGCGTTCACAAACCGCATTTTTTACAGATGTATCATTTAATTCAAAAGTTATGGGCCGGAAATACATGCAAATGACAGAAGTTGAACACCTTTAAAATTTGTATCATTTCATATCCAGTCACAAGCTAAGTTATAATAGTAACAACACAAAAGTTTACAAATACTTAGTGAGTAATCTCCTATAAAGAGAGAGTTTAACACTGTCACCTATTGTAAGCTGACGCAGCATCAACTAGATATTGTGGAATGGGGTATACACGACTGCCACATTTTAGTTATAAGAAACTCTAGGAAATAATAATCCAAGAAATTGGGGGGCCGTGCAGACGTACCCATGCTGAGCATTTCCATTCTGGCCCAAAACACTTATTCCTTCTCTTAAATGCTATGCTATGTTCTTTCTCATTTTTAACGGGCCATACTGTGCCATTGTAAAAAAAATTGTAACTAAAAGAGGTTTTATGAGAATATGGATTGTAATATTATTTTGTGACGAGTAGTGGGCTTCAGTTAGCCATTATCTACGAACTCTTTCGTTTACTTCTTATATATGAGTTCCAAATGCTTCCTGGATTGAATTCCGACCATAGCACACGTGGTTTCGTCCTGTTCAAAAATAATTGTTTAACGATGGTCAGCTTTCTTTTTAATCAGGTACTTATGATTTGCATTATGCTTGATTCCTGAATGCATAACATTTCGCTTAAAGTACGCGGCGATCGGTGCGCTATAATAAAAAACTTCTCCCGTGATTATTCCCATCAAATGTAATGTGATTGTGCATTCTCTACCTTTGAAGTGTCTTTATTGTACTGTAGGCGAGTAAACCTCTCACCAGACTTTGCAACTCGCAAATCCTTTCAACTGTAGCGGAATTAAACTGTAACCTTTACACTGCATTCCTGGAATTAACCATGGCAGTAATAATGTACAAATGCCAAATTTTACTAAACTATTTGTATAGCGAAAAGTAAAATTTTGCAACCTATCACGTTGTTACGGATACATAAGCTAGGCTGTTTTTGTTATATTTATATATATTACCAAACATATATGCATTTTATATTGGACAACATCACGGGTATTCGTTCTATCATTGCTGCTACGTCGCTGTATTATTCCTGGGATTAATTATATATGCGGACAACGCCGCTGCGTTTGTATACCGAACTTGTCGCGTAAGACGTTCCTGAGTACTTTGAGGATGCCAATGTATTGACTGGATAAGCCCGTGCTTTGTTGCTCGGAGCAAACAAATCCCATTATTACTAATGACTATGAGGATTTTCATTAAACATTTTTCATCCTAGGAGCTCACAACCTACATAGCACAGCCTAGCCCCGCCCGAAAAATTAAAATCCTTCTACGCATTTTGGTATAAAACTTAGCCTCACCTAGATTCAAATGCTATAGACGTAGCGTCTAGTGAGAGGAATTCGTGACCTCCGGAGGTTAGCCACTACCATCTGTGACACTGCCGTCTGTGTCGCAGTGTAAGATTGGTCGTGCTATATTGCAGTTAGCTTGGAAATTATGTAGCCTTGCCGACATCACCATGCTTGCGTGGATTCAGCTGCTGGCTAGTTGGCCTCTGCTTCCAGTGTTCATGGGTTCGATCTACAGTGGGAGACCGTGGGAGTCAGCATAACTGACGAGCGCTAATTAGGCGAAAGGCATATGTTGCTTTTCCAGGGCTAGACTGTGCTACGTAGCTTATGAGCTCCTTGGACGAAAGTAATAAAATTCCATTATTTGTAACTATTTTGCTTATATCTGCATGTTTACACTTCATGGCTGCTGCTGGTCTTTCACGCCACCGGAGTGCCGTAGTATTACATCTATTTTCTTGTTTTGTGAGATGATTCTTACTACAAACGTTTCATGCGTACAGATAATAAATTTGCGAACCAGAATCATGCGTGCTACCATTAAGTGTTGCAGGAAGCCCTGCATGAAAGCACTGCTTCGCCCTTAACCTTATTTTGAATCCTAGGGATTATTTTCGGCTATTGTTACAACTAATTGACACGTATATCCGCAATCCTAGGAATCTAGTATACGTTCTTGTAGTTGATCGTTAGCATCTGCAATTAATAATCAGAGTAAAAACAACTATTTTATTAACATTCATCCTGAATTTTCAACACATGCCCTTTTCCGGCGTGATCGTTCCGCATTGTTCCGCATAATACAGGGGTTACCAAATATATTCCAAGGATGGCCACATGTAAAAGTAAGGCCAAATCCGTCTGACATTTACAGTGAAACAGAGCTTATATATGTACGGTAAATATCCAAGCGTGAATTTCTTATTTCATGATGAGACCGCGTGCGAGTAGAAATGATAACGCGTGTGGCATTCGTTCTTCGGCCCGGAGTTTGGACATCCTTGGCATAATAATTACAGCCTATTCAAGATTTCATGTAGAAAATACCGTTTGTAACAACCCTGGCTGTGCAGTTCACAGCCTGCAACACGTACATTATTATT